AAGTAACCTTACCCTCTTTACATAGAGATCACACAGCAACTATAACATTACTGGTAGGCATCAGAAGATGATACAACACTGGGAAGAGTGCAGCAAAGTGAAAGTTCGAGCACACAAACTTATTTGTTAAGGCAACGCAAAGAGTCATGATGAAGAACATCGTCAGTAGAGTAACCCATAGGAAACAGCACCATGGAGGCAATCATGTCTATTAGTTAAAGTGGACCTTGCATGCCAAAGGGAAGGTTCCCTTTTTTTTTGACAGCCCCCTTCCCCAACACAGATGGCTTTAAAAAGCTATTTGTAACCAAACTGATCACCTAGAAAGAGAAATGACTTAACGTGGCCCCAGTCTCCAATGCTCCCAGGAGGCTCAATTGACCAACGGTGACTTATGCAGAGATTGCATGAAGATATTCTGGCAGGAATTCCAGCACCCAGGAGGTAACGGCGAGGCACATTGATGACACCTGTACCTCCCAGAAGCATCATAGGCCACAACCGAGGCAAGTAATGTTTTTTTCTGGGCGATCTCAATGTTTATAGATAACTTTTTTAAGCAATTTGTGTTTGGAGAGCTTGGGAAAAGCAGGCCTTCTGTTTGGTATGGAAAGTCTGCTTTAAAGTGAATATCTGCTTTGCCCATGCTGCAAAGTCACAGGTTCACTTTACTGCAGACCTCCGCAGACTCTTATGTTTACCTTCCTTTCTTACTCCCGTCATTCTGTTCAGCCTCCAGGAGAGAAAGAGAAGACGTGAGTAAGATACGAGTCATTGGAGTCATAGCTTACCCAGGGCTATGGACACTTCCTTCTTCAAACCAAGATATAATTAGTTTTTTTCTTAGGCTCCCAGCAATGAACGGAGGTGATAGGAGAGAGAGGGAATGGTATGTTTATGCTGATAGGGACGTTGCTTTGCCCTGAATAGGCAATACATTGGTTTTCTTTAATGGATGGCTCCCATAGGTGATAGGAGAGAGAGGGAATGGTATGTTTATGCTGATAGGGACGATGATTTGCCCTGAATAGGCAATGCATTGGTTTGCTTTAATGGATAGCGCCGTTTATAGAAACTTTCAGATGTTGAAAACTATGCAGAACTGAATTAGACTTACTTTAGTTGTAAGTAGACATGCGCACCAGCAAAAAATGTGTTTAGTTTCCTTTTGATTTGGATTTTGCGTTATTTCGGGATTCGGGTCCGAAAGTAAATGCGTTGCGGGATTCGGAGGAAATTCATTAGCGGTAGTCTGTATGAAAGTTTGTTACGTTTTCGTTTCCCTCGTTCGTGGCAGCAAAGACATTTCAGAAAAAAAAAAATGTTTTTTTCCCCTCAAATGTCATTTTGCTGCAACGAAATTTCGTCCAACAAACGAAATTCCGTACAGACTACCGCTAATGAATTTCGGAATCGGAAATTCGTATTCTTTTGCATTCGTTATATCTGTAATTCGGAAATCGGATACATCTGAACGTTCAAATTTCCAAAATTTCATCCGAATTTCGATTCGGAACGAAAGGAATGGCACATGTCTAGTTGTAAGTGCTTTATGGCCTTGCTATACTTTGCACCATGACCAAAGTGGGGTAACTTCGGCCCCTGCCATGTTCCTTTAGATTGAATATATGAACTCAGGCTCTTTGCAGGGCTGGACACTGGGCACTGAAACCAAGATGGAGTCTGCCTTCCCCTATTCTCTCTGAAGAAAAGAGGTGATGGACAGAAGACGCCATCATCGGGCCATTATAACCCTAGATTGTGTCTTATATAACCTGGGCCATTATCACACAGCCATTTTCACCAGCATTTACATGGCTGTGTCATCTCTCAAGTTGGGATCTCAGTCCACTAAGTAGATACTGACCCTAGTTGATGTCCAAACAAAGATGGCTCTGCCCTCCTCGAGTGAAAAGCAGATGAAGGCATTGTCAGGGGGAGCACTGTGATCCCTGCGGAAGGTAATAAGTCCCTGGAGGTGTAACACTTACAAATGTCTTATCATGCAAAGTCTTAACATGAACAAATATATATCGGATCCTAGTCCAATTTATAAGTCATAATACATGTTCTGAATGCTTATTATTTTCTCCAAAGTGCCCTTATCCTTTCAGAACATCCAGCACAGTACACGTTGTTATTATTATTATTCGCCTTATGAAATAGGTTTAATCATCATCCCTCATTGAAGAAGGTTATTCCATCTGTCTCATGTCAATATATACATACATCATCACAAGCATACTAACACACAATAAATATAAATGTAAAAAAAGTGCATTTGTGTGAACGTATTCATATTATTTGTGATTAAAAAAAAAGTGCCGTCTAACTTGTCATTATAGAACCAAACTATCATAATTAAGACACTGAGAAAATAACTAAAGGGAACCTGTCATAAAAGAACTGCTCTTCCCCACCTTCTGCAAATGCTTGTTCTATGGCCGTCATGCTCAATTCTTAAAAGAGTTGTGAAGTCCCAGCACAAGGGGCCAAACATGTGAGCTGCACGTACAAGAATCAGGCTGAGTTCACGCCTGAGCCACTGAGCTGGTGAGTTGTTGTTGCGCGTTTCTGTTCGCATGATTTTGCTTTGAAAATTGTGCGGTTGTCACGCGGTTTTCAATGCATAGAGATGTCTATGGAACCCAAACCGCGCGACAACCGACCGAAAATAGCTCCTGCACCTTTTTGCGCGACAGGCGATTTCTACCGCGCGTCAAATCGCAAAGGTGTGAACAGCTGCCATAGACTTGAATGCAAATCGCCTAAGTGTGAACCTAGCCTCGAGCTGATTGGGGCAGAGGGATGACTTTACCGATCTGCTGCTACTCTTGCTATCAAAAGACTGAGGGTGGAGAGGGGGCACCTCTTGTATTCATTAACTGTCAGGGGTGTCATCTGCCTGTCTGTGCTGTGTGATGGGCAGGGCTGGATGGACAGGAAACAAAAACTTCCCTTATATGCAGGGATCACAGGGCCCCTGAGCAAAAATGTGATGGGGCCCCCTTGACGACCTCCTTCTGAGCTATGAGTAATGATGCCAAGATCCCAAAGACTCCTCTTGTGCATCTGAAGTCTCTACACTGTAGACTTCACATGGAATTAGAGTTGTCGTCCACTGCAACCCCTCAATGATACAGGACTGTGTTATCTTCACATGTTCTAGGCTTCATTTGCCTCAACAACCTAATGGGGCCCCCTTCCACCCCCAGGCCCCATAGTAGCCGCCTGGGCTGCTATGACTATAATTACACCACTGCTTATATGTCTTTCATCTGTGTATTCATGCTGGAGTTCTGCTCCAAGTCCAAGGACCGCCATGACAGCCAGTCATCTGGAATTGGGAATGGTCGCAGGGCTATTTCTCTCACGACAGGTTCCCCCTGATGCTAAAAACTACAAAATGTCAATCCAAAACCACAGATCTATACACGAGTCAGGAACAAATATTGTCCACAAGGGTAGAAGAGATCAAATACCTAACAGCAAAAACATCAAATCACTTTCTAAATTCAATTCCCTTTTATCATGAGAATACATATCAAGTGGAGTTCTTGTGAAATGTTTTCATATCATCACAAACCATATTTCCTTCAAAGGAAGCTAAAGCAAAAACACAAGTCGCCTTTCAGGCAAAAATGATACATTACAAATAGATGTTCAGAAAAGGAATTCGTATTGTATTTATATTAGATGGACAGAGTGTTTACAGCAGGGGTAGGCAAGCTTGGCACTGCAGCTGTGACAAAACTACAAATCCCTGCATGCCTCTAACTATGACTGTCAAAAATCTTGCAATGCCTCATGGGACTTGTAGTTCCACATTAGCTGGAGTGCCAAGGTTGCCTACCCCTGCTTTATAATGCCAGCCACTTTAGGAGAGGCTGACCACTATGTCCTCCAATGAGAATACTGAACAGGAAGTCAGCTGTTTAAAGGAAACTATTGCCATCTACTGACGTTATTGCCAGAAAACTCATTAATCTGTTTTAGATTTGACACATTTTTAACATGATTTTTTTTTTAAATTGAGGCCGAATTGTGTTTCATGTTTACTAGTGATTTAAAGGGACATGAACCTCAAACCGTTTACCCTGCCTGTGCCTTTTGCATGAAACTGTATACACCAGGCATATGTACTGTGTACACTATTTTTGCAGTCATAAAGAATCAAATTTTAAAAAATTACATTTAAAATCTGATTTAAAATGTTGTCACCTTTTTTTTTTTTCAGCTCAGTGCTGTTGATCTCCTCCGGCTTCTTTTAACCACCTCCAGTCTACACGCATACGCATGAGCAGCAGCTGCACATCATTGCTCTGGACCGGCTTTCTGATAGTGACCATGCCTCTGCAATATGTGATAACATGGCCTCTTGCAGTCTCCGCCAGGGGCGCATGTGACAAGGTGACAACAAGGAGACAGATGTCACCCTTATAACAGGAAGTGCCTAAACAAGGACCTTTATGGAAGGATCACCAGGTATTATTTGTATTGAAGCTTCTTCTTTTAAAAGAGTAAAAATGAAATGACAATGAAGCTGAAGTCTAGAAAAAAAATTGGGGCACACAGCACCGGTCTAATAATTATTTCCAGAATGCAAGGCGTTCTGTGCATGGGGGAAGGGCAGTCCTGTCATTCATCTGTCCCCCATCTCCATTCACAGAACGCCTTGCATTCTAGGAGTTTTGTGAATGGATGAGAGGACAGGTAGGGTGTGGGGGAATGGCACAATCCTTCACATTTGCAGCCTCTCCTGCTTGTAGTGCTGGAAGATCACCACTGTGGTGACCACCATGGCTTCGGTTCAGGATTTTTACACTAACCAGCAGCCTGCAGAACATGGGGTACACTTCACTAGAGGTACATTGTTAGACTGGTGCTGTATGCCCCAATTTTATTTTTACTAGACTTCAACTTTAAAGCTTATATGGAATTTTAGTGTTTGGGTTTGGATCTACTTTAATTATGAGCCAACTTGTGTCTTTCTGGAAAACACTCCTAGACAATAGTGCATTCGTCCTACGATATAACCACCAGACTCACCCAAAAGAAAATTAAAATCAACGACATTAGAGTCCCTTTAAAATATTCACCCGTTTCCTTTTCTACATCAGGCTGGTCTGTGTTGCGAAATGAATCAATTCTACTGGATGGAGGGTTGTTGTATGAAAGAGGTAGAGAGATGTGTGGTGTATTCGACATTCTGTCGGCGGAGTGCTAAGGAGTAGCAAAGTTTATGGCAATAGCAGGTCATATGAAGATTTCTGATCAAGGTAAAGAGTCTTCAATAAAGCAAAAGTCCTTTCAAATTCACAGGCCATGAAAGCTGAGGATCCTATATACAGACCATCTCAGGTCCTGCTTCTTGGATCCCAGTACATCTAAGTCCACCCTACTATGACTGATTGTCCTTGGCCAACGCTTCGCGAAGTCCAGCCGAGTCTCGTAGTGAAACACTTTCCTTGAATAGTGTGGAGTGAACTCTGCCCTCTTCCGCCAAAAATATCTGTGGCTTACGTTATTTGCAAAATGTACACTATTCACAGAGTAGGTTCAGACCATAACATTGTTCAGTTCAGTTCGTTATTGTGATCCAGAAGGTTCAGAACCGGAACAAGTTGATGAAATCTTGTGGGGAGAGGGAGACCAAGCAGCTTTCTGGATTGTTTGCTGTGCAGGGGTGCTCCGTACCCTAAGGTGACATACAAAGAGTTTAGTGAGATATGGGAGAAGAAAGTATAAAAAGATCCATTTATTTTCCAATGACAACACTACTCTGTTTTTATATCTCCCTAGTGTTCCGGTATATTATAATACTACTACTACAGGATTTAATATGTATGGCGTCAACAGTGTGCGCAGCAAGGCTGTACAGTTACATTACAATTCAAGACAAGATTAGGTTTAAAGGGTTATTAAACCCTTGCATGTTTTTGCATATATATATGGCTAGCTAGCAGGAGATATATGCAAAACGATAAAAAAAACCTTTTCACAGGGTTAATACTTACCTGTGTCTCCGGCGTTCACTCCCGTCCGAACATCTGAGAATTTCTCAGGTGGCCGCAAAGGATCTGAGGGTGGTACATGAGCAGTTCAGATGTTCGGCCGGGAGACGAGGAGAGACACAAGGTAAGTCTATGGAGCAGCGTGCACCCGCACAGACACCGTGGGACATCAGAGGAGAGGAGGACAGAGGAGTCAGCGCTGGAGGGACAGATGAAAACTACACTAAAGAAGATGATTGGATTAAGAGGCATAATTTAAGGTAAGTCCTTACATTAGCACGGGGGAGGGGACTTTTGCCCTTAATGTCACTTTAAGCCTTAGTAACTGTGTATATAGACATCTGTATAAAATCTGTATATATAGACATCTGTATAATGTACATTCTTTCTCACCTTCCAGGACAGGATGTGACAGTGTTGGCAGAACTGTAGTGTGTCTCCATATTGTTCTCTTCTGGGGTAGCACCGGACCAGTTTGAAATACATTTTCTTCCAGTCCAGAGTCCCATTATCGGATATGATGAGCCTCTTACGGATCTAAAATAAAAAAAATAGACTATTGATAACTCTGATCTTTCAAACTTTGGAATTGTATTGTAAACATTGCTTCATCCCACAAGCCAATGATGGTTCTGATGGTGGCCACAAAGGGAGATAGATAGATAGATAGATAGATAGATATCCATCTATATCCATCCGACCATCCTTATCTATCCATCTATATTCAACCATCTACTGTACATCCATCCATCTCTCTTCATCTATCCATTTATATATATATCTATCTATCATCTATCTATCTCTCCTCAACTATCCATCTCTATCTATCTATCTATCTATCTATCTATCTATCTATCTATCTATCTAGATTGGTTTCTCTAGTACAGGGAGGACCAGACTAGCCGGCACAGGACATTTATTTTTCTCCTCTTGTAATCACCTAAGGGTGTCAGTTCTTGGATAATCATCCGTTTATATTTCATCTGAGCACAGCCTGTATTTCTCCAACAATTATCTCCATGGAGGAATTCAGTGATGTGTGCGGAGCACTAATGGGAACAATCTGTCCAGAAGAAGCAGCACATTATGACGGAGGTCGGTGGGACTTTTTCGGATAATCCCCTTTGTTGTATCTAAAGCAATGCTATGAGAAGCCAACAAAATTGTGTGTGTGTGTGCGTGCCGGCGGGTGTCCAGTTACCTGGCGTTCTGTAAAGTGATAGTGGCACAGCTTTTTCCACAACAGACGGTCCTCGCTGAGAACTTGCAAATCCAAGGACACTTGACCCAGGCAGACAATGTCCCTCCCGTCCGTTAACCTCTGTATGATGTTCATTTGCAGGCACAAGGGGAGATCGGTTAAGGTCGTTCCCTTAACAGCGGGCTAAAGATAGAAGAGACAGTGCGTTAAGCCCTGAGGAATGTAGAAGGCTGCACAACAGCACAATGCACTTCTTAAGCTGTAAACATGCGACTTCATGTCATAATAAGAGCAGATTGTCCGAATAAAGGGCCAGGAAGCCCATAAATGGCCCACAGGCAAATTAGGCAACATTTAAGGTCTATGGTGCTGGGCCGAAGTCTACACGGGACATTCACTCTTGGGGGGACATCCATTGAATGGGATGGAAAACCTATTCTTATCCAGAGGAAGCTGCTGTTGCTGACTTCTCTTTCTAAAAATACTACTTTTCTGGTGGTCATCATACTGGCGCTATTATATGTTTAAGGCTGTATGCTCAGCTGGAGCTTGGCCATTTAAAATATAGCTGGGGGTGAGTGCAGGGATACTACGGGGAAAGGCAACGAACACCCAAATACCACCACGGACACCTTTAAATAGACCATTTGCCAAGGGCAGCTATATTGCTGAAGCTCTTCCAATCATCATATGCATAGTACAGGGTCGGCAACCTTGACACTCCAGCTGTTGTGGAACTACAAGTCCCATGAGGCATTGCAAGATTGACACAGGCATGACTCCCAGAGGCATGGTTGTATTTGTAGTTTCAGCACAGCTGGAGTGCCAAGGATGCCTACCCCGGGCATAGAACAACGAATATCAAAAAAGGAACGACAGAGATAATGGTTGATGATAGATATAATGATATCCTCCAGAACTCACAGAATGGATGGGAGGAAGCCCCCTCCCCTGTCGGGTGATTTTATTCTGACATGGATTAGCATGCTGCTAGCCGAATATCAACAACAATTTTCAGCTTGGCACCTTCAAAGAAAGTCAGTTGAAAAAATTGACTTTTGTCGAACATGGAGGGGTTCTGAAGGGGCCACGTGCAGAGCTCACCTGGAGATCGACCAGTGTATGGCCAGTTATAGTAAGGACCTGAAGCTGGGGGTGTGGGTGGGGTGGCGGGGAAGCATAGTGTACTGTGTTAAGGGAGCTGGGGAGATTTGGGGATTAAAGGAGCTGGAGGGAACAATTACTGAACTTATACTTTAAAAGGCCATTTTGAATGATGATCGGGCAGTACCCCGCTCACAGGTCAGCGGGAGCCAACTTACCCTGGTGATCTGGATGTTGTGCAGTTGCTGCTGCCAGTCCAGAATAGTCTCCATCCTAGGGACCCAGAAGTTAATGTTCCCCACCAAGACAGACTTTCCCAGTCCCTGCACCAGCGTGCACAGTGATGAGTACAGGGTCTGCAGCAATTCCTTTATCAGACGAATGCTCTGCTGATCCTTCAGAACTGCCGGGAGAAAGAAAATGTATAAGGAAAATTAATAATAATTCATCATAACAAAGGAGATCATTGTTAGAAGAAGAATCAGAGAAGAACTGACACAGGAGAAGTTTATTAAAGTTGAGGTGGAACTGAAGTAAAACTTGCACTCCCATGTTCAATCCGCTTCCTATTCATTTGCTGAAAACATGCATAAAAACGCACATAAAACTTGCAGAAACGCTGACGCTGAGGTGTGAACGGAGCCTTAAAGTGAACCCGCGCTTTGTCCATTCAGGGCCTCTGCTCCAGTGATGGTATGTCCCATGGCGTCCTCACGTCCTAGAGCCTCACCTAGAATTATGGTGGAAAAAGATCGGCATCTAACAGGTTACAGAGCAGGGAAATCCTCCCCGCTGTGTAACCTGTTAATTACAGGCAGCACTGCATCCGGCTTTTGACAGGTAGTTAGTGAGGGACAGGGAGGCTCCTCCCTGTCTCCTCCCTTACACTAGCGTGAGGGCGGGTTGGGGCTTCGTCCACTGGGGACGGGGCTTTGTCAGACGGGGGCAGGGCTTCATCCGGCGGGGGGCAGGGGAATGCCTCATCCGGAATATGAGGTACCGCACGTCGCTGCGTCCTATACATTGTGCAGAGAATATGGTGACCTTAGACCGCTGCAGCGGAGGGGGAGCGAGGCTGGAAGGGCCAGTTTACGAGCAAGCAAACTCAGAAGATTGGGTGAGTATAACCCTTGCAGTACGGGGGTAGCCCCACTCAGTGGCATCCCAAGGGGGGTGCGGCCCACACCCGGGTGGCACCATTGGAGGGGTGACCGTTAGTTATTTTGGTGTCACCCCCTCTGAAAAGTCAGGCACTTGGTCATGGACCGAGAGCCCGACAGCTGCAGGAGAGAAGGGGACCCGGCGGCATACCTTATACCGCCGGGTGAACGTCCCCTCCTCTTTCTGTATCAAAAAAATGACCGCGTCACGGTGTGGTGTCACCCAGTATCTGCTCTGGGTGACACCCGGCCTCGGGACGCTCCTGGCCTCACTGCAAGGGTTTATAAAAAATGTTGCCCGGAGTTCTTCTTCAAGCTGGCCATACACTGCTCAAATTTCATTCGACTTTTGTCAAAGGAGCCAGTCCAAAAATTCTCAGCCAATCAGCTGCAGTCACAGTTTGGGTATTGTGACAGATATAGAGATCATTTCTTTTCCTTCTAAAGGATTTGCATCTCTGTCCACCCAGTCCTGAGATTTACATAGGCCTGACTTCTCCAGTTGAGCAATAAAGCTAGGTCACCTTCCTGCCCACAGCCTGTGAAGTGACAGTGAAGGAGCAGCAGCCAACCTCTGTTACTCTGCTCTCTCCCCTCCTGGCAGCATGTTGTCTATACATATGTATGCAACACACCAGACTGGCTCCTAGAGATGAACCCCCCCCCCTCTCCCAGTCTGCTGTAAAGGGATAACAAGGGGCAGATACTAAGTCAAATTGATGCTAAGTGCATAATGTATATATATTATTATAATAGTATCATATTTTATATCTTTTTAAAATGAATTCTTAGCGGCATTCTTGTGCGTGTTTTCTTTTATAATGGAGTTCTTTTTCTTGTCCAGCTCAGAAGAAAGAAAAAAGGAAGAGCGAGCCCGAATGTTATTCCTGGCAGCAAAACAACATCTTTAACTTTTAAGGTGACTGTTTATACTGAGGCTTTCCAAGGCAAATATTTATTTCTCCTGATTCGGGGCCTCTGGATTCCAACCACCGAAGACATCCTGAACGCAGCATCGCGGCAGATCGAGAGCCGAGGTAAAAGCCGTCCATATGCTACGAATTCTCATTATGGAACCGAGACTGAGAAAACATTTGTACCCCACAGTCATACTAAAAGTGCAAACTACTTTTCAAGCATTCCTTTGTTAATAACAATAATAATAACAATAATGATAATATTATTATTTGTCCAAAGGCAGCCCAAACTTCTCATTTACTTTGGATTTTGGGGGTGAAATAGAGCCCCTGTCAGGTTTTAATTGCCATCTTTTGTCTGTATCGGGTTTTTTGTCCCCATCGCTTCCTGTTAGGACTCCTGTCTGCGTCTTTATTTCTGCCCGTACCTTGCTGTCCTTGTGACAACTGCACATCCTATTTCTTGCACAGGTGTCACAGGCCCAGGAAGTGAATGGTAATTCCCAATCACAGGTAGAAATAAAAACCTAGCATGAGTATAAACTTTCACCCACTCTAAAATGAAAATGTAAAGCTGATCCCCGGCCTTCCCTTCAGTCTTGTACAGTTGTAGCGGCTCCTCTCCTGGACTGGAATTGCTTCCTCTGATTTCATTGCACAAGTCAGACAGAACCCACCTTATTTCCTGGCTGGAGGTGATCCAGCATCATCTAACCAGGGGCGTCCCGAGGCTGGGTGACACCCGGAGCGGAGAGCGGGTGACACCCCGCCGTGACGTCATTGCACATGCGCGTGACATTGCCGCGTGCGTGATGACGTCATTATGCATGTGCGGTCGCCTTATTGACGCCTGCCGGTGGCCATCTTAGTGATGGACGCCGGCAGAGAGGGGGGACGTTTACCCGGCGGGATGAGGTGTGCTGCCGGGTCCCCTCCTCTCTTCTGACACTGTTGGGCTCTCGGCCCGTGTGCCTGACTTTTCATAGGGGGGCGACACCGGAATGACTGTCAGTCATTTTGGTGTCACCCCTCCAATGGTGACACCCGGGTGCGGCCCGCATCCCCTTGTGACGCCACTGCATCTAACCTTTTTTCCCCAGCCTGACTGTCCCTGGCCCACCCCTTTCATTCATTGGATTTCAATTCTTTCAATCATGGAGGCTCAGCATGCAAATGCAGCCTGCCTAAGAATTCCCTATCCTCCAGAATGACACCCAGCCATCAAGACATTTTAATATATACATATCTCCTCCGTAGAGCCAGCCCACCGCTTGCATCAGGACTAAGGGCTCTTGAAAGGAGTACTGAGACAAGGTGCTGGGATGTTTTCAGGAAGCTATGTACAACACTCTGCTGGTCCAAGTGGGCACCCTACATGGAAAAAGCACAGACTCACTTTGAGCATCTTACAGTAACCAAGTTCCGTTGCCCTGCAAAGATGCATAGATGACCAGCAGTGGCCCACCTTCATACTGACCCCTCCATATAGCCCCTGCCTGTCCTTTTGGGCCCCTGTGGAATAGCACAGGCTGTACATGCAGTATGCCCTCCCCAGAATACTAAGCTGTGCTCTCTTACCTTTCTGAACCACCTTCTCCAGTATATTCATGTAGTTCTTCTGGGCAATGCCACTCAGAGAGGTCAGCTGAGACTTTGCTATCAGTTCCAGAAGCTGCGGAGAACAATGGGAACATCGGCTTGTTAAAGGAAATCAATATTTCTGTGATAAACATAAAATGTGATCAGCTAATAATTTCATCAATCTGTATTATTGCTTCTTCCATCAATCCTCCCATGCTCGCTTCCAGGACTTCTCCAGAGCCTCTCACATCCTCTGGACCTTCCTACCCCAATCTGCCTGGCTTTTTTCTACCCTGTATGCTTTTAGGCGACTCTGGAAAATGTATCTCTTCAGGAAAACCTATCCCGCCTCTGTCTCAAAACTGAAATTGTACTCTTTCTGACGCCGCTCACACCTTGGTGTAGCATCGCTTGCGTTTTTGCCTCCATTGCTGTGCATCAGCCCATTCATTTCAATGCAACAAACACGGCAAAGAAGGTCATGCAGAATTTTCGGCTTCTTTAGACGTTTTTTTAAACGCGCTTTTGTGCGCCTTGACGCGCAGGCAAAAACACATTCTACCGGCCATGTTTGGTGCTTTTTTACTTGTTGCATGAGCACGCGCTACTGCACATGCTTTTGGTGCGCATTCTCACAATGCAAACGTGTAAACGGGGACTCAGACAACCCTTCCCCTCACAGCTAATACCTTTTATATCACTTGTGCTTCCCTTTTGGATTTAAGCTCTCACAAGCTGGACTCTCTGAACCCTCTTGGATTTTTTTTTTTATCCCTTTATTTTCTAATGTGATGCACGAACTGTTGGCACTTTAAAAATCCTGAATAATAATGTCAATTATAATAATAATCAATAATAATAAAAAGTATTATTAATAATATTAATGAAAATAATAATAATAATAGCAGAAATAGTAATAATAATAATTACAACATCAATACCATTATTATTATTAATAACAAAGTTATTGTTTTTTTATATGGATCAGTAAAAAAGTAAACTCACTTGAATGATGTTAGAAAAAAGATAAATTTAATGTAATGATTTTTAACTGTGTAATATTCTGTAGAGTTTGTAGTACAATATTGTTATTTGACACACAGAACTACAATGAAGGGAATTGATCAAAACCGGGGCAGACAATATCTGGAGTAGCAGTGCATGGCAACCAATCAGCTTCCCTCTTTTATTTTCAAATCTTAACTGAACAAACTGAAAAAAGATGATTGGTTGCTATGGGCAACTGCTCTAGTTTTGATAAATTCCCCTCAATATGTTTTATTTTCCAAAACATCACCAACTTCCTGACATTTAATAGCCTCGAGCGGAGAGGGCAGCTGGCACAATGTGTTGTCACATGGAAAATAGCTTCAATCTGAGAATGTAAACTTCAGTTTCCAGCCGGCAGCCCCGTCATCAGGTGTCAGACACTTGTGGCCGTCTGTCATCCAGCTCGGCCACATGTGACTTGTCACTTGTACTGGAGAACCATGACTCAGTCCCTCCCTGATCAACTTCCTTTCCACTGCATGTGCCAGCAGGTCTACCCAGCAGGGGTCCGCACTGAACAGGTGGAACAGAAGACTGGCAGGTTCATTGAGCTTCCATCTGCTTTCTGTGCTTGAAGCTGAACTCTGGGCATGAACACATTAAATATATTCCACTACAAAGGATATCAATCTTTGTGCGTACCAAATGCCTTTCAAAAATCCAGATATTACTTTGTATAAGTAGCAGTGGCATCATTACTGTGCTGTACATAGCCTGAGCAGAGGTACAATAAGTGTATGTCACATCATCCAGTGAAACCTGGAGTTCCTTAACCCTTTCGCTGCCAAGGACGTATGGCATACGGACCTACAAAAGTGCTTCCAGCTGGCCAGGTCAGTATGCCATACGGACCTGGCATTTACAGTTCTACTATAAGCTGATGGTCGCTTTAGCGACCATCAGCTTATAGTATAACTGTTCAGCAGACTGTCCCCTTTAAATTAATAGCTGTCATCAGCGGCTCAGAAGCCGCTGATGACAGCTATTATCAAAAATATCGAAATATCGGGCCCCCCCC